CAAATGTCATACTGCAAAACTGCTAAATATATAAGCAATATTTAAATATGCTAAAACCAAACTATAGCTCTTTGAATGGCATTGTCTGCTTAGATATCAGAGGTATTAAAGAATCTGTAAAAAAGTCTTCCTGAATATGTGTAAAATGGAGCACTTGTCTTGTTGACTCTCCTGGTTTTGGAAGTCCTGACAGGGAAAAAAAAAATTCATGTGGATTTCACTTTGTTTTTCCCAAAGGCTTTTTTTATCTTTGATAGGGAGGTGCTAGCCTGAGTTAGGGGATGAAAGAACTACATAGTATTATAGTGAAGGAAAGCCAGATATATTTATAGGGGAGTCTTTGAAAGAAAAAAAAATGAGACTAGTCAAATGGGAGAAGCAGCATGGTGAGGTGGGATGGAGTGTGTATTTTCATTCCTTAATTTGTAAATTATGTATCAAATTATTATCTAAGTATATTCCTTGTACTCATGTATGTCCTGAAGCAAAACTACCAAATGTGTCTCCCAGACTTTCATGTCTTAGTTTTGTTCATCTAAATACTTAAATAACTAAAACTTAATTTAAACTTGTGACTAATTACTTTCTCTAAATGAAAAACTTGGCCTGCCCTTCCATGATACATCTTTTGAATTCTTAATTGTCTTAGTTATTTCCTCAGAAACACTGATTTTGATGATTGTGGCCAAATCTGTCTATAAAGTAGGTATGAGCTAATCATAAAATAGTGAAAACAGATGATGAATACTTAAAAAGATTCAGTGTTCAGCTTAATAAGAAATAATGTAAAGCTCTTTATGGGCAGGTAAAAATAAATAAGTCATAACCCAGAAAGTAGATACTGATACAGTCACTGTCTGGACCACAAACTGTTATAGTCTCAAAAGTGTTACTTTTCAAGTGAGAATGCAACAATTGTGGCTTTGTATTCTTTTAAAAAGAAACTAGGAGGAGGTAATGAGACAGCTACAGTACGTGTTATTAAAAGAATGGGACTGGTAGTTGCTACCAAGAATATTAAGCAAAGAAAGTCTATATGGCTTTAAAAAGAAAGAGGGAGTTGGTAAAGGCAGTTATTGGGTGCAAGGAGACATCTGCAGTCTTGCTGGAAGGAAGAAAACTCGACACTTCTGCCAGTGCAAGTGTCCAGTGCCTGGCATTTCTGGGGGGGCTGCTTTCTCTCCAAGAGCTCCCTTTAAGAGCAAGGACAGACTGCCAGCACCTGGAGCCTGTGGTAACCCCCCAGCCAGACCCCTCTGCATTCACAAGGCGCAAGCCAACCATCTCCAGAAATGAAAGCATGCTGATTTCCAGTAACATGCCAAAACCCCTAATCCTGGATTGTTACAAGAAATTGATCTTTTCATAGACTCTTAAACTGTTGCTTTGACATGTTCTAAAAGTCTTTGAAAGCCTAGTTAGACCTGCAGCCACAATAGACCTGTCCCTTTGGATTTATCACAGAATTTGATACATTCTCAGGCAGAAGTACAGTTTCTTAGAAGATTCAGATGAATTTCTGCATTGATGGAAAGAATGGTAATCACCTTAAGACATCCATGTCTAAGCAGAATAAATGGTAATAGTCTGGTTTTGACATTCTGCACATTTGCTTTTCTAACAGTTCCATAGCCACTGTTAACTGCCACTTGCAATACTCCCTGGCTAAATTGGGATTTTTTGTAGTTAACACAAGCGGGAGCCACAACCACTTAATTCCTTGCATCCTGACTGGAGTATAAGGGTCTGAAAATTGATTGGTGCAGCTTCTTCTGCAGGTAACAACGGAAGGAAAATACTGTGAGGAAAGAAGCCTGTCTTGCAGGCTGCTGAAAATTACAGGAGGCCAGCAGCATGTGGCTGAAAAGGTTACTTCAGGCTGTGAAATCTCCATCCTTGGAGGCAGTCGGCAGAGAACAAGACGCAATGTCAAGCCACCTATTTTACCTCTGCAGCTGGCCCTGCTTTGAGCACAGGGCAAGACCAAATGACCTATAGCTTGGAGAGGACGGCTATGATTGAGGGGGGAGGTTGTCATTTGTAAAGGCTCATTTACTAGCAGCACTGATTTTTATGCTGTTTCTTGCAATGAATGAAGGTTTGGTTCTAAAGTAATACAAATGCTTAAGTCTTATCCTTTCATAAGTCCCATACCTCCCTGTTACCATAATTCTCGCCCAATGTATAAAAACCTAAATTAGAATAAATTGAAGAATATTCCTCCTGCAATTTATTGCATTCAAGCTGAACTCTTAGCAATGGTGTTGAACACATTACAAGCAGGAGCAGCAGAACTAATATTCGTGATTTCTGATGAAAACAAGTTTCTTTTGCAAATGCTCTTGACAGTGGCTTTGAGATGTCACACTCACCAGTCTGTGTTTATCTGTATTCTTTCTGCTCCTAAACCTTGTTCTCAAATGAGGAAACTGAATTTCACATGCTACATATAAAAGGAGCTTTACCTTATCTAAATAAACTTAAAGCTCAGACATTCTGCAAACCTATCTCCTATGTTAAATTAAAGCTCATCCTAAAAACATTATCTGGATGAGATACTCTGCATAGAACAGCCCTACATTTGGGCTGCAGACTTTCCATGGCAAAGAACAAAGTTCTGCTCAACTAAAGCCAAGCTCACCTTCATACCATGCTTACTTATGTATCTAACTAGACAACTGGAAAGGTAACACGCACAATACCGTACACAATTTAACAAAATTTAGTTTGGATTTAATATCCAGATAGATTAAGCTGCCTGAATCTGGTAAAGGCACCATTCCCTTGGGCCTCTTGAAGATTTCTCATTATGGCTGAAGAAGAGGACTGCCTGTAATCACTCTTTGAATGGTCTCCTACATGCAGGAAAATGGCAGTTTAGTCACTTTTTCTGGGAGTTTTTAAGTTAAATCTAAAACATGCACAATGCCTATCCATTTTCTTCCCCTGGGAGGCTTTAAATAAATCTAGCAAAGCAAATTTAGGCAGGAGTTTCCAGCCTCTTTTACAGAACATCCAGGCACTCTGACAGGATAGGAAATGGGTGATTTCACAACCTGACCTGTATTGCTCTGCTAGCTCATTAAAGCTAATAGACCAAGTCCACTCCTATTGGCAAGTAATTAATCTATTTCTGTTCAGAAAGGCTTAGTAAAAAAATTCAGCTGTGCTTACATGAGGATCCCAAATAATGACTAGGTCAACATGCTTTTTTTCTTAAGTTTTTTTTTTTTTTTTTCCTTAAAAATAATCCAGAAATACTCTTACCATGTGGTAAATTATACAATAATCACATATATGCAATTAAGAGCAATTTAAGATATCTCACAGAAGACCTGCATGCCTGAAGCAACAGACAAATTTTAAAGTGACAAAAGCTAGCAAAATTCACCTGTGGGAAGCTCCTGTACACAGACCGAGAACTGAAATGCAGTCTAAACACATACTTAATGGAAACAACCCTCTTATAGACAAAAAGATGAGTTCAAGTATGCAATTTACTCATAAAAGTTTAAGGAGGTTTTCTTAGAATGGTTATCATCCTCCAGATGCCAAGAGGCCACAGGGATATGTTCCAGTCCTACATACTGAAAGAGGGGTAAATGTATTTACTTATATCACATATGTATTTGATTTACAAGGCCACACACTATTTGTTCTCAAGCAAAAGTCAAGCCACCAGTAAGCTATTTTACAGATTATTGTATTTATACCAAGGTAAAGATGAGTAATTCCATTGGAGTCTGAAATGGTTTCTGCCCACACCAGTTTTAGGCAGCTGGAATGTGGTCCAGTGATGTACCTGTCATACCACCACTGTTACACTGTTTTAATGCATTTATGCTAAGTAATAAAATTGTAATTAACAATCAGTCTGTGCACTACATTTTATTATTTTACAAATATTTGAAAAAAGCTGTAATTGTAACGGGGATAAGCCCATTGGAAGACAGTTATGTGTCAGCTAGTTTCATAAAGAAGTCTTACAAGGTGTCTCAAGATCCTGACACAAAATCAATGATTTGATTTTTTTTGTTTTTTGTTTTTTGTTTTTTATAGCACAGTTGTGTTCAGTTCCAATGAGGTACATGGCAAGAGAGAGATTCTACCTTTTTGACAAAACAAAAGTCAAAAGAATCAAAACTGAGCTCTTTCTGAAGAGGTTTTGGCCTTATGTTGTTATATATAATGGTATAAGAAAAAGTAGTGGCAGTAATGTTTGGTGACTCTAACTTTGAAGTTGCTGGAACAGCTAAATGAGAGCTTAGTTCCACAACAGAGCAAAAGGAAGATCTCACAGGCATATGTTTAACACTGTGGGCATCTCAGAGCTCTCTGGAACATCACGTGATGCTCTAACATTACTCGTGGCTGAACTGCCAGCAGTGGGTGTTCTGCTACACACCTGCCTGTCCCAAAGCACTGACAAACACATTTTGAACAGTTCTGCTCATATGTACAGCAGCTGGAATTTTTTCTTGTTTAAAAGCTCTCTGAAGACAGGGAGAACCAGGGTAGCCCTGTTTGACTGATGCGTGGACTTGGAAGAGATAGGTCAATTGCTGACCACCATCAGGGGAGAAGCTGTGAGGTCTTGGTCTTATGCAATGTAGGCAGTGTCATGGATGAAAGTATTAACATGGTAATGATTTAACAGGAATTTTAGATTTATTAATAACAGCAATTGATCATTTACAAAATACTTTAGAAGATGTTATAAAAAGCAGTGACTTATTTACAGATTCTAAAATTACAAGATTCCCACAAACTTACTTTATGGTACCTTAATTTATACATATGTACATGCACATACACAAACATATACACAGAAACAGAAGTATTCAGATCCAGTAGAATGAAGTACATACCCACACACTAGTAAGCAGAGAAAGTTCTCTGTAGTAAAAGAGAAGGTAGCTCAAAGTAAAATTTCCCTCCTCTTGAGTTTAGAGTAAATACTCACAACGCCTTGGCATTCATCAACAGGTGATAACTGAGACTTGGGTTGACTTCACCCTGGCCTTCCATCAGGTCTGACAGGAGAAAACACCTTAAGGGTTTTGATACCTGAGAGGCGTCCCAGCTCAGAGAGATGCTGATCACAGGCCCACTGCGATCCAGGAGAGCTCCAAGGCTCTCCCTTGTGGTTGCAATTGGTAGGGTCCAAGATAATTTACTTTTGTCAGATACCTTTTGCTCACGCCCAGCTCGAACAATGAAATATTCTGGTGCCTTCCAGCAGTTGCACAAGAACCTGATGAACGTGCAACTCTGTTATTGTTCCCATTTGACCACATCCCATGCACAGGTGTGCCAGGCCCTTAGGAGATGATGGGTTGTTATAACTGGAGCCAGGTGCCTTAACTTTAGCCGTCCTTATCTTCATAGATTGGTGTATAGCTCAGGGGAGGTGGGTGGAATCACATCTAGCACCAAGCAGCCCAACAAGAAGAGGTGGGGAGGGGTAAGAATTGCACCATCACATGCTGCATTCCTTCTGTTTCCAGTAGATGAGAGAACAGTTTCACATCAGAGCCTTCTGGGGACAAACCAAAACCTAAGTTGTGATTATCCTGTTTTGAAAAGACTGCTTTTTGTAAAGACTAATGAATGGTGGGGAAGGAAGGAGAGAGGACTGTTTTGTTTTCATGTCTGGATTTTAGTTCCTTAGCTGTTTATGATTGCTTATGGCTTTTAACTTCAAATCCATGCTTTTGAAATATTTAGGCAAATGGTAATTTATCTTTTCATTTGCATTATTTTCTTCCATTAGGAGACTGTCCTCCACGTTACCATTTTGTAACCCAAAACTACATTTGGAAACAGAGAGGGTATCTTCAATACTACATTCGGTAGCAGGCTCAAAGGTAGAAATGACAGCTTCAGGTCTAGCAGTAATAGAATATCCCAATCTCCTTTTGTCCAGTAGATTACTATTGGTGTCTGCTGAAGATTGGTATAAGATGCTGTTTAATGTTCATACACATTACCTCCCACTGCATGATTAGCAGCAAAGAAGTTGAAGAATTATCATGTTAGGTAGAATTTCCACTGAAGACTTACTGGTGTGTCTGAGGAAGGAAAAAGGACAAAAATAAACTGGAGAGTCCATTTAGAGGAAGAAAATGTACTATAGGTAAAATAGTGGCCCTGCTGAATCCTGTAAAGATCTTGACCTTCACTGTACTCTGTATGCTAAGGGTGCAGCTGTTGATATTCCATGTCATAAGTAGTAAAGCAGTACTCCACTAGGTTTATTTGGAATTTGCTGCTATTTTGATTTAAGCATATAATAGTAGACTAACAGCTCAGACTGGTTTTCAGTGCCTAAAACCAACTAAAAAACAACTTGCTTCCCTCACTCAAGTATAAATGCAACATTGCTATTTTTATTAAAATATCGAAAGCTGAATGTCATGCTGAGTTACCTATCTTGTTTTCCTTTACAGGGTGTTACATATTCAATTGAAACTCATCCACACTACTGTCAAAAAAAATAAATGCAACTTGAATTTTATTTTTAAAATGTTGTCCTGCGCTCTTTATCTTCTACATGAAAATGGGTGTTCCCAAAAGTCACATTCATTCTTGTGGTCTACATGAGCCATGTTCAGCTCCAAAGACTGAAACCAATCCTGTGTAATAAATAGACTTCCAAGTCTCTTCTAGGCTACCACAAGAAGGTGCACAACAAGTTTAACTTCTTCTGTTCCTTGGGATAGGGGGAGGCAGAGGGCCTTTTCTGTACTGCTCCTATGGGATTCACAACACAGTACGTATTTTTCCGTTTCTCAGACACTAGTTACAGAACAAAGCAAACACTAGCATAGAACAAAACATCAGAACACAGGTAACAAACTACCGCCAATGTATCACCTTCTAAGTTTCCCTGCTTTTTTTCCAGCTGACCCTCCATGAAAGAAATTTTACTGTGGCAAAGCACAGTCTTGTTCAGAGTATGTGTTGCAACATTATGGATTAAAAACTATCCAAACTGCCATAACACAGCTAGATAATGGGCAAAACCAACAAAAAAACAGAGCAGTTGGGTTTTGTTTTAGAAAGTGTTCTATCTCAAAACTCCTTTGTCCCAATAACCAGGAGAAGCCTTGTGCCCTGTGATAAATATCTGTGTTAAGATACTGCCCAGAAGAAAGTAAAATGATATCAAGGCATTTATCTGCAATAAGAGTGGTAAAAGGAAATTAATTTGGAAAGGCACAATGGAAACTGGTTTGTTTTAAGCTGATTTTCCATGACATGCGAGTGAAAGGAGTTAAAAAAAAGTGTAAATTGTTTCTTAGTTTGCCATCCATCACAGAAGTAATACATTATTTGTCCTTACTGAGAACTTTTTAAACCACTGGACTTCTACAAGGTTTTATGGAGTAGGGAAGGAGAGATTGGCAGAAGCCACCATCTTCTAGTTTCCAGCTGACTCCCAGTAGAGACAATCAAGCATATTTAACTGCTTCCCTCATTTCCTATAAGCAGATGGTGCAACTGATACAGGAATGTCTTGTAATGGGAAGTGCAGTCTCACAGCGATTCTTCCTAAATCTTTTGAAACACACAGTTTACAAAAAGCTCGCAAAAGCATATTGAAAACCCTTCAAGAACTTACCACTGTGCTCTCCACTAGCTAAAGCACAGAGTAGCAAAACTTGGGACAATTCCTCTTTTTACCCCATTAGACTCACCTTTTTTATGTTTTCCAACAAGCACAAAAGAAGAGCATATTCTCAATAAATGAAGAACTATGAAGAAAGTGAAGGGCTTGGGAAAGGAAAGTGCTTAACAGAAGTGTATTTTGGGTTCTTCCCTGTATGGCAGGATTTCTTCTCCCTTGATGATTACTGAGATTACAGATTACTGAGAATTATCTTTCAAACTAACATGCTTAAGGTTTTGCTAAAATAGTGCTACTTAAATATTTCTGAGGTAACCTTTTTAGAGCAATTATGTCAGCTCTTGGGGTATCTCATTTCAGCATCAATAGAAGATAATCTAATCATCAGTAGAATCACCAAAAGATAATTCAGTAGTAGCTGAATGGAAAGGTGCTTCTCTTTATTGAAATTCAGCCTGTTGATCATGAACAATCCAACTCACCAAGATGACCCTGAAACTTGCTGTTAGCCAGATATTTTATAATATAATGTTCTTTTCTGACATCCAACTCATTCATGGACACACTGAGAAAAAGCAACACCAGAATAAACTCCTGTCAGATCCCAGTCTATGCCCTCTCACTTTGGTAACCTGATGACTACTGCTCAGTAATGTTTCAGCCAATTCTCCAACTCTACAATCGTGATTTAATCTAGATCACATTTCCTGGAATTGTTTATGGCAGGTGCATAGCAGAACAGCACAAAAACCTTACTAAACTTGAAATTACATTCACTGCTGTTCACTTATATGCCAAGCCAGTCACACTAATAAAGGAAAATAGATCAGTTTGATATTGTTTGTCCTTGACAAATAGACTATGTTTTGTTCTGTTTTATTACTGTGGAGTAGGGAGATTTCTGAGAAACTCTCTTTACTAACTTTATGTACTTAAATGTACCTTCTGCTACTTCTCCTTGTACAATAGCAGACCTTGATTAAAAAAAAAAAAAAAATAAAAAAAAAAAATTAGCATTCTGTCCTTGTATCACAAAAGAAAGGTAAAGTCCCACATATTTAGACTACTGGGGCTAATGTAACAACATGATCAGAAGTTAGCTTCTGCCCTTTTTAAAAGGGACACTTTTTAAAAAAAAAGTTTTAACATGTTACTCAAATCTAATCACTTTAAAGGTCAAAAAGAAACAGAACAATATTCAGCAATGCTGTGAGACAGCAAAAATATCCCTTCAATCGATAAAAATTGTAACAACTTACATATTGTTGCATTATCTTCTTTTAGGTATGTTATTATAAACACAGAATTTCTCTAAGTACTTTAATTTCTATTTTTTAAATCTATGCAAATATTTTCCTGATTTTTAAATTACCCTTCATAGCAATAGGTAAAGAATTCCGTGTTTCATATCTGTATGATCTGTTATCCTGCTTTTATTTCAAATGACAGGTAAAAAATACATTTGCAACAGATATTTTACTGGCTGAAAAATATTATACCCTACCCATCACAAAAGGTTAATTAAGGTGAACATATACTATCATGAGGGATACAAACTGGAGATACTATCAGTTTATTACATATACATTTAGGGAAAAGAAGGTAAGTGAATTATTCAAAGTTCAGGTTAAAGTTTTCAATCTGCATAAACATTTCCTACACATTAGAACATGTATTGTGTAGGAAGTGTTGTTTGTAATCAAAAGTACTGACATGGTTCTTACAGTTCCAGTGTCTTAACTAAATTGGAAGAGAAAGTCCATTACCAATAAAAGAATAAAAGCCCAACAAAAATCTCACCTCTTGCTGTATATTACTCCTTTAATAATGAAACCCAGCATCAGAGTATACAGAAAATCTACTAAAGAAATTACACTAATAATGGAGTTAATTAATTGTATACTTAGGTATCTACAAGCATCCTCAGGGTGTAACTATAGTAAAAAATAACATGCTCTAGAAGACACTGAAGGCTTTTACTTGAACATACAGTTTGTTACCTCCCAAGTGCCCTTTTTTAATGAAAATAAATCTACATCCATTCATAAAAGCCCTTTGAGGTCTCCAATTAGAAAATATATAGGTTGATAATTACCTGTTGATATTTAATTCCACAGAGCACTAACATGTCTTTGCAGGCATTGCTCTCACCTGTTTAGCCTGGCTGGCTGGCTAAGACATTAACTACTCAATTTAATCTGATATAATTATTAAAACATTATTTTTTCTGCTCACAGCAATTTTGCCTTCATTATGCATCTTGTTCCAGGCATGCAAAACATTCCTTCTTCACTGATACTCTGAGTTTGCTAAAATAAGGAAAACAGTTTTGTTTAAATATCAGAAACATGTTTCATAATGAGCACAAGCAATACAAAATAAACCAGGATACCTCATTTATTTGGCCAGTGAAGTCCACCTGTGTTGTGCTATACTTTTCAGATGGCCTCTGATCTAGCAATAGATCCACTGGAAGTCCTGCAAAAAGAACAAACCGGTTGGGGATATAGTGCACGTGAAAACACTTCTCAGAAATTATCACTTATTTTTTCTCTTTGATCTTTTTCTAGAAAGTTTTAACCTGTTACAAGCATGTATTTGTTAGTTTCAGGGAGCTGAACTTGGCTTTTAACAACATAACTCAAATGTCGTATCCGCATTTGAAAAAGATTAGGATTTTAGGTAGGGAGAAATAACTTCTCTAAGACTAACTACCATAGCTGGAGAAAAAGAGGTGTGCTTTTAAGGGCACATGAAGTAAGAACTATGTGGCAGAAAAATTTCCAACTTTTTACACTACACCAACCACTCTAACAAAGGGTATCTTCCTACAAACCTTGTTTTGTTCATATTCTTAGCACGCTTAGAACTCTTAACATCGTATAGCTGCATGTAAACTTTGCACTCGGGAAAAATGCTGGTTCATAAGGTTTGCAGGTCCCAGGTAGTAACATCTCAACCTGGATTGCAGAGCCCAGGGCACCCCTGGGACAGCAGGATGATTCAGGTAGGAACAAACACTATGCTGCAACCCCTCTGCAGCGGTGCTATGACCATCCCCACCCCAGGCAGCTTGGCACTCCTTCACATGATGCTTCTCACCTGTACCCACTTGTGGCAGACTAATAGCTGTAAGGTCCTCATCAGTATCCTACCAGCTCTCAACCCAACCTTTGGGTGACCATGAGTGAAGGCCTGAGGGGAGTCTGGGTGTTCTCTGTCAGAAGAAGAAAAAAACCCCTTTGATACAGAAAGTAGATATTGTCTGACAAGCTACTACTGAATTTTCAGTTGTACAGATTTATATTTTAATCCCAAAGTTTTGGACAATATGACAACAGCAATTTTAGCCTTTTTGCTTCAGCCCTCTGCAAACCCTGAACTGGTTGCCTTGCAAAGCTCTGCAGGCTTTGCTGCCAGTTCTGTTAGTCATCATACTGTGCTGTGTAACCATCTTGGTGAGAAGCTGCTGAACTGCTATCACAGGTGTGTGCCACTGCAACTACTTTATTAAAGCAGTATCATGTTAAACCGTCTATACAAACTGCTTTCAGCTGTACACACATTTTGTTATATTGAACAGGTAAGTGGTTAATAAGCCACAAAAGGATTTGGGTTTGGGTTTTTTTCCCCCAGGTTTTAGATGTTGCTTTCTAGCAAAATTCTAGACCTATTCCACCTGTTTAAGACTAAAATGTATTGATACCACATTTCACCTGTAACTGGCAATACAGAATGTATTTTAAAGTTTGCTTGGTTGCAAATCAAAGAGGAAAACTGATCCTCCAAGAAAATTTTGTGAATGAAAATAAGTTTGTTTAGTTACTACCAAAAAATTAAATAACATGCACAGCTGTCTGTCTGTAAATATCTAGGAAAGGTTATAGATGCAGGAAACATTTTAAGAATGGCCATGGTTTAGAGTTTTTAATCATAAATTCTAATTTGTCTGAAAACCTTAAAAGTCCTTGTTTAGATATGAGACCTACTACCTTACCCTTATAGACATGTTCACATTCATCTGGAATAAGGGAGAGCCACTTCAATACAGCAGAGTTGTTGCAGGATATGTACAACTGAACTGTAAATTCCATGTCAGAAACACAAAAGCTGGCATCGTTATGCAGCCTGAATATCCTGAATCATTTATGATAAAAAACCTAAGTGTATCATTAATGTTTCACAATGGCCTTATATGCAGACTTCAGACTTTTAATTGCTGGTCCCAAAGCTACTTTTAGTCAAACAGGTGTTATATTAACACTAACTATAATTAATATAATCAATGAATGTTGCAGGTCTTATATCCAGCGTAAGCTTAGAACACCTTATTTTCCAAAACTATTGCCCTTAGTATTTCTGTGTGACATATTTGATTATCTACTTGTGACTCTATACAAACATAGAGGCAGATTATTAAGCACATGTGTAATTGTGCAAAGTGTGACCTGAATCCTGTTGCACATTGCATCTCTGTGTTAGCAAGACATACACCACTCACCGGTAATACCCTGAAGGAAACATAGTGAACATTTGATGTAGCCCTCACAATCGTATTATAAAAAATATAATTTAAAAGGGACTATTTCAGAAGAAATGATCTCAAATTGCTGATTTGGTGTATGGAGTAAATAGAAATTGTTTGAAGTGATTCATCAGGCTTGTTTTGTTCTTCTCAATAACCAGACTTCTGTAGAATGTGTAAAAATGACTAAAGATGCTGCTAGGCAGAAAATGTTTTTTGTTCAAAAAAAGTGTATGATATGAACTTTTGTAGTGATCTGAGGAGATGATTTTCCTTTCCAAAAGTTAACTAAAAACATCCAGGAGTATCATTCCCTCAAAGCAATGTTGATTTATCGAGAACCAGAACAACAACAAAAAAAATCAACAGATCTAATTCATTACCAAACATCTAATGGTTCATCTCCTGTTGCTGTAAGTGATATGCTGGCATCCATTGTTTCTTCTATTTCATCCATCAACAAATATTAACAGCTGCATTTTTCCTTGGGGAAAACAAGTACATCACACACACACACAAAATACACTCGATAACACAGCTGATGCACTACTGAATCTGCTAAACCTTGTCACTGATAAAGTGCTTTCAAAAGACTGAACAACTAACTGCTGTTTATACCCGAGTACACCAACAATGGTGACCACTATGGTGCCTCTGTCATGTCATAAAAACCCCACATAAAGTGTTTCAGGGACTCAGGCTCATGTGAGCAGAGTGAAAATTAAAAAAGCATGCATGCCACAAAAGCCCTGGCAAGACAAAGCCATGCTTCACCCTCCGGTCCTGAAGGCACATCCCCTGTGCTGCCCCAAACCCGGGGGCCTGCCTTGGGCCAGGGCCACAACTCTCAGCCTGGTCCTTGTCTCAAAACAACTGCTGCCAGTTTGCAGCCAGCACTGAGCCTTACGCCCCACCAGGGGCCCAAGAGATGTGCTGGCTGCAGCAGGGGATGCCCAGGAGGGATGGCAGCAGCCACCACCTCACAGGGCTAGGGTGCCATGGCAGCCCTGAGCACTCAGCTCCCACCCAGGTCTCTGCCTTAGCTTCTTCTCTTACTCCGCACCTTGGGCCTCAGCCCCTCCTGACCCCACAAGCACCACCCATGCAATGCTGCCCAGCAGAGCTGTCCTCTGCCCCCACCCACCACTGCCATCCTACAGGTGGCTACCATGTTGTGTGGCCTGGAGCTGTGTCCCCTCTCTGGGTGCTGAGAGAGGAGGGGGATGAGCCAGGCTGCCCTTTGGCTATTCCACCTCTGCTGGAAGTGTGCCCTCCCCAGCCCTTTCCAATGTTATTTCATGATAACAGGAAATTATTTTGGTCTCCCTCTTTCCTGGCAGCTGGGTCCAACTCTTAGGCCTCCCTGGCAGCTTTACCATCTCCTTCTAGAGTTTTACCACTCTACTACTTCACTCACCCCGTGTTTCTGTTGGCCTTGCTTCTGCCATCCTGTGTGTGACCGCAGAGTTAGTTTTCCTTGCAATCCTGTGTGGCAGCATTGATTCTCACAGAGTAAGGTTAAGAAGGACCTTAAATCCATTTAATACTTAGCATTGAATTTAACTGCTGTATCATAGCTGAGTGATGTATATGCATGTTTCTTGTTCTTTTTCTCTGATCCCATTTCTTTTTCAGTAGTTAAATCCAGGTACCACATCGGAGGCAAGTCTGGATTTTAAGACCTGCTTACCCTGCAAGGCAGAGTGCCACTGCCGAGCAGCACCCTGCATGCCCATGCTGCCCAGTCACAGGCGACTTTCCAGTGGTGGCACCACAAGTCTTGGCCAAGGCACACTGGTGCCAAAGTCAGGCATTTCTGGTGGCTTGCTGAGAGCAGCTCCAGCATCTCCCACCCCCATGCTATGCCTCAGTGCTCTGGCACTCGCCACCCACCTGAGAAACCAGCATCCACCTCAACCTCTGCTGCACCGACACCAGCCTCCCTCTGCATTACCCGTAGGCACATGCTGTGCCCCTGCTGTTCTGTACATACCTGCCTGAGCATGCAGGGCCAGGACTGGAGTGTTGCCTTTTGGGTTTCTCACTGTCAACGCTCTTGAGGATCAGTCTAGAGCACTAAAACTAAAGTTTGGGTTTGTTTGGGGGTTTCTGGTTTTGTTTTTTTTTGTTGTTGTTTGCTTTTTGTTTGTTTGTTTGTTTTTTTTGTTTGGTCTGTTTGGTTTTGTTTTTACAATAAGCTCCTTGTCATGGAGATGGTTTTCTGGTGCTTTGATTTACTTTTGTTGGCATGAGCTAAATGTCCACCCACTTCCAGCAGCCTCACCCTTTCCCCTGCAGTGCCTGGTACACTCTCTGCCCAAAGACATCCACAAACAGGGGAGAAATTTTCTGTTGAAAAATAATTGTTCTGTTAATTTACCTTCAAAATGGCTACAGTAAGAGGTCATACTACCTTTAATGGGAATTTTGACAGAAAAAGGGCAATATGAAGCAATTAATGGAAAAATATAAAGCTCACACTAAACATCTTTGAGAATCTTCAAGTTTGTAAAGTGAATACTTTTCCCAAGACTATTATATTAATACACCTCTAAGAACTACTTTCCCTCTCATTGAAGATGTTTAACAGGAAGAGTAAGAATCAGCACAACAGTACTAAGATACTTCTATTTATTTTTTCATTAATACAGTATTTACTTCCCCACCAATGAATAAAAAGTATCATTCATAAGACATTTATTGGAAAGCTATCAAAATATGGTGCTAGTGAAGCTGTTGGTTCCTTTGGAAGACAATCTGCTTTAGTATTATTCAGAAACATCACTGCTTCCTACAGAATAATGAACCTTTCTTCCCCAACCTAAATATCCATAATGAATCCAAGGCACATAACATTGTATTAATTTTATGAACCAGTTTTAACCCAGTACTCAGAACAGGAATATAACACATCAAAAGGTGTGAGAATTATTATTTGAAGAGAAAGTTTGTAACGATAAGGGCAAATTAAGCTATTGCCAGAAGGTGAATTATTCTACTGGTAAAGATTAGAGTTTTGCTTTCTTCTGGAAGAAGCTGACAATAGCATTCATACATTCATCAGATAACCACCTCTCTTGCAGGACTTCACACTCTTTACTGTTGACTGCATGGAGCTTCTCCTTTTCCATACCACGTAACAGTTGCTTTGACACTGCCAAGGACTGGAGGAGAGAGGGAGGAACATTAGGAAGTTATACTTTCTATACCTTAATTTAACATTTCAGAAAATACCACAATAAACACACTGGAATTCAAACCCAGTTGTATTGTACTTTTTAAGCTTTTGGACAACCTTTTTGCTGGAAGTAATTATTGCATTTAATTACTAAGACTGCAAATAGGGTGGATGAGGTTCACAGGGAAGCAAAACAGCAGTCCACTAAGTGGTCATAATCAGAGTAGATGGACATAAGAAGTGAAACCTGTTCAACTGTCTGCAGTGCCAAACGCAACATACATTATCAGCAGTTGGCACAAGTGTCTCCTCTCGTCCAGTGCAACATAATACCACTGTGACTCAAGTAGTTTTGCAAAACCTAAACTAGGAAGCAGGATGAAGAAATTCAACAAAATGTAAAGCCACCCAGTGTCATCTTGAGCACCCACAGTACACACAGTACAATTAATATTGTAGAACCAGTGGTAAGTCTTTTAAACCTAAACTATTACTAAAATAAAAATCTAA